TAAGTTGATGATGGAGAAACCAATACATTGTAGCAGTGCTTGAAAATTAACAACCATAAGCCATGGACATGTCTAATGACAGGGCTGCTAAAAATTCTTAGACCAGTGTTGTCTAATACAACTTTCTGTGATGATGTGAATGTCCTATATCTGCACTCTCTAATATGTAGCCACTAGCAACATGTGCTTATCGAGAATTGAAATGTGGCTAGAGTAATTGAGAAATTGAATTTAACATTTTATTCAATTTTAATTCATTTAAATTGAAATAGGCACATCTGACAAGTGCCTACTAGAGTGTTAGTTTCCTCCATTAAAGTCTAAATTCCTTAGAGGCAGCAGTTATGTTTTTATAAGCCATCTTTGTATTCTCAGAACCCAGAATAGAGTGGAACAGAACAACTGGAGGCACATTAATCTGGGAAGGCCTACTGGTAAAGGTAATTAGTAACCAACAGCCCCATATACATAGGATGTGATATACCCATACATGGGTGTGTGATAAAAGTACCATTTCAAATCAGTGTGGAAATAATAAAGCAAATCAATAAATGATGTTGGGACTTTTAGATATCCATATGGAAAAAATGTTATATCCTGTGAAGATGTGACTAGCTGTCTACCAAATATTTTTCCTCTTTTGTAGTGTAGATTTTTACCTGGGAAGTGGCTGCAAAGCCACTTTTCCCATCTCCTGTGCATCTAGGTATGGCCATGTGACTAGTTCTTGGCAATGTTATATGAGCAGAAGTAATGTGTTCCATTTCTGGTTCAAGTTTTTTAAGAAGTAGGTGTGCTTCTCTAACACTTTTTCTTTCCTTTGGTTGAATGCCAAAAAAGATGCCCTGGGTGATGGCTGAGACACAAGATGAAAGAAGCCTGGGCTCTTGAATCACTCCATGGAGCAGAATTACCCACAGAACTACCATGGGTTGTTAAAAGGCTACAGAAATACCATTCAACCATGGGCCAGCCCTGGTGGCCTAGTGGTTAAGTTTGGTGTGCTCCGCTTCCTTGGCCTGGGTTCTGTTCCTGGGCACACACCTACACCACTAGTCTGTTGGTGGCCATGCTGTGGCAGTGGCTCACATAAAAAAAAAGGAGAAAAAGAGGAAGATTGGCAATGGATGTTAGCTCAGAGTGAAACTTTCTCAGCAAAAAAACCCCCATACAAACAATAAAAGAAACATGCATGTTTTGAAGATTGATAAAGAGAAATATTTAACCATTTCTCTTATCTTTCTTGTATGGCTTGTATTTCAGGATACCAAATAGTTGATGAGGGAAAGTTCTTTACAGAAGGACTTCATCTAACGACTGCAGAGGAATAGTAGAATTTGAAAATCACCATCTTTTAAGCACTAGTAAAATAAAAGGTTTTGACAATAATCATCAATAGATATTAAAACTATTAAATTGATGAGGACCCTGATAATGGATGAATTCAGACTGACAACACTTGAATCTACTTATCAATTTTAACTTTATGAAAAGTAGAACAACCGTGATGTGCTTCAAGCAGTGATACAGTAGGAACTAGACAGAAGTATTTTTGTAAAAAATATTGAATCTGAATCTAATCAAATCTCTAAATCTAACTACTAGATTATAAGAAATAGGGGGTAAAGAAACAGGTTAAAATAAAATTAAAAAAAAGAAGATACAATAAGCTAAACCCAGAATGTGAGGTATTCTAAAAGAAAAGGGACCCAATCTCTTCAATAAATAAACAGTCTGAAAATGAAAGGGGAGTTAAGCAAGAATTGTTATAGACTAAAAGAGGCTTAAGTCATCTTTCTCTTTCAGTTCCTTTCCTTTTCGTTTTCCTCCTGAACAATTCAGTTCCAAAGTCATTTGGTGGGCTGAACAAGGAATGCATCCGTGTCGATGAGGAGCAGGGGGGAGGAGCTCAGAGCATAAATGGGTTGAGAACGGTGCTTATGTGGCATGAGGGGCATCTGGAACATGGGAATCAGGACCCAAGCAGGGTGAGGAGTGCATCTGTGTGGGAGGGTGGCCTGGTTTAGGGTGTTGGAGCCTGAGTAGGGTAACCTAACACAGGGTGTCATGGCTTCGGTGAGGTGAGGAGGGCATCCATGTGAAGGAGAGAGGTGGTTGTGGCAGCAGATATTGTTTACATACTGGATAATTGATGAAATAAGTTAATATATTTAGGATAATGGGAATTAGGTTTATCCCTGTTGGAGAATGGAGTTACAAACATGGGAATGAAGAAAACTAGGAGGAACCCTGTGGTGTTAAATTGGAATTGGAGGCATCTGTATTAACTCATGGTTTCAATATATATAGATAGATATAGAAATGGAGACATTTATGTGTATCTATATCTAGAGCTTTATCTGTTTCTGTGTATATTTCTTCCCAGCTCTGTCCATCCAGAGGACCTGGGAGCAGCAACACCCCAATGTGAATGAGCATACCTAGTGTCCAGATCTTGGCTTTGACAGTTTTGAACTTTACCTGAGCCTGTGCTCCTGTGCTCTTTCTTACTGAAGCCTGGATTTGCTTTTTATTTGACAGTTTCTAAATACCACCTTAAACTAAAATAAACCTGGGATTCTTGGAAAATGGGCTGATTCCAAGGCTTTGGCAGAGAAAATACAAAATGAGCCTAGGTTATCTTCTTGTACTAGAAAGCAAAGAAACACTCAAGGAATACAGAGGCATGTGGAATGGACACAGAAGGGCTCTCACTGGCTAAAACTGGGACAATTTGTGCACCAAAATAAATACTGATAATAATGTATTATTATCCCACTGAATAAAAATATGAATCTACTGAATAAAAATAGAAATCATGAGGCCATATTGATATAAAAAATAAATAATTAGAAGGTTTGATGAGAAATTTGCATAGTTTCAAAGAACTGCCTCACAAAATACTTGCTAATTACAAAGGGAAAAGGAGTAACTTTACAGTGAAGTTTGGCAGATACAACTTTATTTAAATGATCAGAGTTAATATCACTAGCAATGGAACAAATGGAAATTGTGTGTTACCTGATAGGATGCAATGAGAACACAGTTACCTTTCTGTGATAGTTCTGCCCAAGATACCTAAAATGACTCTAACCACAAAGAAACCTCAGACAAACCCAAGCTGAGTGTCATTCTACATCATGACTGTCCTGGAATCTTCATGATTCTTCTGTAGTTAGTTGTGGCCATGCGACCTACTTCGGGTTCATGAAATTTAAGTGGAAGAAACTGGCTTTACGAAAGTCATCTTTTTTCTAATAAAAATGGTGTAGGCTTAGTTGGCATATGCTTTTTGCCTTTTACTTTTCCCTTTCATTCCTATGTCTTAGTGGATGCCATGTGCAGACGTGGGAGAATGCAATGCACTCTTCTGACCATGAAGACTTGAGTTACAGTCTAAGTGTTACAACACACAAAAGGAGAAACAACCTGGTTACTTCAGCAACAGCACCAAACCTGGACTAGCTACCGGCAGGCTCCTTACTACATTACCCCTTGTTTGATTAAACTCTGGATTTCTATTAGGTGTGGTCAAATGCAAACTAGTCAAAACAACTGGCTGTTCTCTTATTTTTCTATATCAACCTTTCTAGTTCCCCTCTCTGATCCCAACACTTTTTGTGGGTAATATTATTGGTACTGCTTTATATTTACAAATTAATTTATGGACAACAGATGTCTTTATGATGTTGAACCTTCTTCTTCAAGCACATGGTATACCTCTCCATTTGTTCCAGTCTTCTTTTGTGCCTTAAGTAGGATTTGAACGTTTTTGTCATATAATATTGCATGTTTCTGCTATAGTCACCATTTCTTTTTATTTGCCCCACAATTAATGCAAGGGAGGAATGGATGCTTTTCTGAATCCCAAGAGAATCTAAAAGACTTTAATGCTATTAGAGTTAATTATGACAAAATCCGTCAAGGCCCAGTTAGTGGGTTAAATATTTCAAGGTCAATTCGTAAATTAAAGTTCACTTTTCTGTAACAAAAATAAGAGTACATTCTATTTTGTATATCAAATAAGTAAACACTACATGCTCAAGGTTAAGATTTTCAGGGATTGGTAAAGTAGAAACTCCTGGGAGAACTTCTTGCAAACACAAATTCAGTTTTATGAAACCCGAAAAGAAAGCATATTTACCTCAATCTGGTTTCTGTTAACTCTTTTTAATGTCATTAAAGTATCTAGCTTATAATTATTCTCCAGCGTTCTTCTTTATCTTTATGATTATAAATGTCAGCTCAGTGTTTTATACTCTCAAAGCACTTGATCAATACCTCAGAATGTATTATTCCTCATGGAACTTAAAGTTCTATGTTTGGAAGATGTTTGATGTTTGCATCATAAAACACAAATAAAATGGCACAAATAAATCGGTAATTGCACACTGTAATGAAAAATGCTTGGACGGGTAAATATGAACACATAATACAAGGTCAGAGAAAAATAGGGTAAAACTTGTAACAGTTTAAATAAGCACGGATAAATTATAAAGCATAATGCAAAAGTCACAGGACTTTCTCATATACTTAAAAAAAAGTTCACCAAAGCAAAACACTGACTCTTCAAAGCAATGTTGCCCTCCTGCTAGCTTGCACTGCCTTTCCGGCCAGCCTCTTTTGAGCCCATTCCCCCAGCACAGGGAAACTTCGGAGAGAACGGCACTTTGTTGGAAATCTTTGAGAGGTACGGATGTAACTAACCTCTACGAGCTTCTAATTTACTCCGGTGATTTTAGGAGGAAATAGGTGAGAATGCCGCTAGTATTGTCCAAAGTGCGTAAAAAATGTACAGTAACATTAGTCCGTGCTCGGGGTCATCTCAATATACGAAGCAGGGAAACTCCTTATCTCAGTTCTCAAATCTCCTTTAAAACCTGGAATTGGAGTAATCACCGGAACATTAAGCTGCACTCAAATCCGCGCATGCTCTGTTGATGGAGGAGCACCCCTCCTCTCCCAGTCGGAAGTCTCCGTTTGTTTATTAAGTTACGACAGTCGTAAACAGACTTAGTGACGGCTTTCTCACTTTACGACGACAGCAACTATGGCGGCTGCCTCCGGTAGATTTGAAAGTGCGAGGAGCATTGAAGAGCGTAAAGAGCAGAGTCGGATTGCCAGGGCTGAGGTGTTGCGCCAGGTATCTCCCTTTTGGGGCTTTTGGTGCTGTTTAGAATTGTGAGAGTGGAAGGTTCCTGGGAGCTAGGCCTCTGGCTCTCCTCCCCACCCCCGCACCCCCTTCACTCATCCCGTCAGTATCTCACCTGTACCTGGGTGAGGGGGTCTCCCTTTGGGATGCCTATAAACTCTGGGGTATCTCCTGCCTCCTAGGTGCTCAGGCAGACTCCAGTTGCTCATCCTCTTTTTCAGGAAGACCTGTTTCTTTCCTCTGAGTTTCTTTTAAATCCTCCATTCTTGACATTTCTACACCTGATCATTTGGGCTGCGCACTTTCCAGGGACGCCGCCACTGATAACGACTCTCTCAGCGTATTTCACAGCCTCAGTCGTCGCTTGTTCTGTATTTGAAATGAGATTTTACGTTTTAAGTAACTCATGTAAGGCTCATAGGGGTAGACTGTTTGAACGTTTTATTCTCCTGTTTTACTATTGGTATCAATTTCAGGCTTGTTGTAAACTCTTACTGATCCAAATAAGGATTGACACAAGAGACCCAGGAAATATAGCCCCTCGAAAAAGGTTGCGAACCATTGTATTTCTCATTAGGATTGAGATACATAGAGGTAACTTATAAAAATGGAGGAAGAAAACTGTACTGAATTATTTGACAAGATGTAAGGAGTGTGGCCACGAAGGAGAAAAGTTTTAACTGGAGAGCAACATATGATATAACAAGTGAGGGTTTTTGTTTTTGTTTGTTTGGAGATGGAACAGTTTAAAACGAGTTTAAATGAAAATTAAAAGGAGCTGGTAGAGGAAACAGGAAGGAGAAGGCATAAGGACTACAGCTAGATTTAAAGGGAAAGAGTGGGTGGTCACTCTTGGATAGGTGAAAGGTTCGTATTGATACCTGATTTCAGCATATTTAATATATATGTATAAGAAATATTCTTCATCCTTGTCTCTTTGTTAATTTAGGTATTTTTTGGAGGATGTAGGGTTTGTAAGCTGTGATAAATTTTATATAGAGCTGTGTATGGAGTTTGAGAGGAACCAAGCCCAGCTTTGGAGTTTGGGGAGAGAATGAAAGGGCAGAACAACCTCCTAGGAAGAACTTAGTTTGACTGTTGTTGAAGGATGAATAAAAATTAGCAGTATGATCATTTGTTTTTAGAAAGATGATTCTTTCTGAAGCATTTTGGGGGCGTGAGTAGAGGAGTATGGGAGTTGCAGATTGAAAGTGTGCAGGTCAGTCTCCTGACAGTTACAAAAGTCTCAGGCAGTAGCAGTGGGATAGTGAAGGGAAAAGAGATTCAAGTCATATTTGAGTAGGGAACTTAGGGAGAAGAGGGGGTCTAGATTAGGTCCCAGATTCTGCCCTTGATTGGAGGCTGAATTCACTACAGACTGGTAATGTGATTGGTAGTGTGGAAGGAGAGATTTTTAGTTTTAAATCTTTACACTGTGGTAGAAGCAAATTCCTGGCAAGCGACAGACAATTCATTCATAAGCCGTGTATGAAAGTGGAAGTTTTTGTTTTACTTTTTTGTGAAAAACAGTTGGATCAATTGTTAATTTTTCTTTTTTTCATTGTTTTAGGCTAAAGCCAATTTTGAAAAAGAAGAAAGGCGTAAAGAACTTAAACGACTTCGAGGTGAGGACACATGGATGCTACCTGATGTGAATGAGCGAATTGAACAGATTTCACAGGTGAATACTAACACGTTTACTTGATGTGAGCATGTTTGTCTTTCTTTGCACTTATTCAAGTTAGTATTGGAGGGGCAACTTTATCGACTATCTTCAAAAGTTACAGAATAAATATTGCATAGTTGGCATTATTGAATAGTTTTTATCTCTGGCAGAAATAATATATTTTAATATTTTGGGCATTAGGACATTGAAAGATTTTGTTACTTGAGTTGGCCAGTAGAAAGCTTAGCTTCAAATTTCTGGCCCACTTGTAGCAAGATTATGTAGCTAAAAAATTATGCATTTTAAACTTAGTCTTTTTTTTTAGTTTCAATCCTTGTTTTGTCTTCCTGCAACTTATGCTGTCTTGTTATATTTTATATGGATAGTAACCTTCTGTAAATTCTTTTGGGGCCATAGAAAGATAAAGAGATATACATATATGTATGTATGCATGTTTGTGTATATATATGTGTTTATTTGATAATATCTGTCTGTCAAATGTATCTACAAATAAATTAAAACCAAAACTTCCCTCATATTTTTTGATAAGAAATCTCAGCTATATGACTTATTAGCAGTGCATATATTGCAAAAGCATGTTAAAGTTTCTTAGAAGATTTTATTTAGTTAGTTATATTTCTTTTCTCATTTCATGACAGATTTAAAGTGTTCTGGAACATAGATCTTTTCTCCCTCAAAATATTTCCTTTTAAAGTAAGCTAAAACTAAATTCCTTTCTTACTCTTCAAAATGATTATTTATAGGAACACTCTGTGAAGAAAAAGAAGAAAAAAGACAAGCACTCAAAAAAAGTAAAGAAAGAGAAGAAAAAAAAGAGCAAGAAACAGAAGTATGAGAAAAACAATGAGTCAACTGATAGTTCATCAGTAAGTATGTACTAAATCTGACCAAAACAGCTACTTGAGGAAAATTGTATTTGAAGGAATAATGTATGGGAACTTAATATTTTTTAAGTTCTCATATATTTTACTTTTTAGGATATGAAAATACCTTGGAGACATCTACTTGGAGATGTTCAAGAAATATTGGAAACAAAGATCTTAGGTTACAGAGAAAAGTAAGAGGATGGAGATATGATTTGGGAATCATTGCTCGTTGAAGCCAGTAGAATGGATGAATTGCCTAGGGAAACTGAAAGGAAAGAAGCTCCAACACTGAGGAGCCAGACCGGAAGTAAACGACATTGAGTAGAAGTAGTTGGAAAATTAGAAGGAGAAACAGTGAAACTGTAAAAATAAGGGAGAAGAGTTCCAAGACATTTGAGAGTCTGTTACCTCTGTTTGTTTTTTCATAGAAAAACAAATTTTAAGCCTTTAAAATAGGATGTGTTTATATATTTATCTTTGGGGCCAAAAGAAAGAGAATGCTGGGTCTGATGTGTCTCTAGCCAGTTGTGCGATGAGAGGACTCACAGAGGAAAGGAAAGCAGGCAAACCCTTCATGCTTATTTTCAGGAAGAAAGAAGTGTATTGTGCTTAGAGACTGAGGAGCTAGAAATGTTTAGGGATAATTGGTCTCCTAGGCATGATCTTTAGAGGGTTATACTCTCAGTTGAATCACTGTATTCTAAATAGTCCTCTTATAGTTTCAGAAACTAATTTTTTAACATTATACCCCAAGATGATAATTGGCTCATGAAAACCTATCTTATACAGTATATTAATTTATAGTGAGGTATGCGACTGGATAGTTTCGTTGAGTAGCCAGCATATTTTGTAATGGTAGGAATATTTATATTATATAGAAAAGAAGTTTTGTTTGAATATAACCCAGGACAAAGGGAGTTAGAAAATCTTAAAGTGAAGAGAAGATAGAGGCACTGTTTCCACAATTGTGGGTTTGGGTTGCTGACCACATTGAGAATCTGATAAAAGTAAGTGATCCTTTCTCAAAAAAGAAATATATGTACAAAGTTGTTTATTTCAGTTGGGTTCATAAAATTCCCTGGAGTTTATGCAGGGATCACAGGTTGAAATCTCCATCCCATGGGTATAGGTCTGCCAGGCTGACTAAATATTTATGTCATTTGATTAAGGGCACTTGCTTCCCCTTATCAGAGACACATTGTCCTATTCTTTTTCTTTGTTCTGTCCTGGAAATATGCATAAGTCTTTTTGTTGCAACATGTAGTGTGTACGTATATACATTCCTATAAGTTGTATAACATATTCCTTAGAGAGAATAGTTTGAATGAATGCTCAGTGCCCACATCATGTTGAAGTGGATTGAAGAAGGAAAGAGAAGGCTTACGCTGACATTGAAGGGAAGGAAAGACAGAGGGATAGCTAGAGGAGTCAGGGTGGTTGGGAGGTCTTTTTGAGAAAATGTTTTTAGAGAAAGAGGGGTAAATAGTATTGAGGAGAATGGTAAGTTTGGATTAGCAAGGTCTTAGGGGAATGAGTAAGCTTTGATCAGGAGTAGGAGCACTTTCTGAGCTACGAGGGAGTTGTAAAGATGTGTACAAATACAGATAAATAAGGAGGAGATATGGGGGGAAGGGGAGCAGATTAACGTTGGTGTTTGTGCTTGTTCTCTGTTTCCTTTGTGAAGTAAAAGGTAATATCTGACAAGATAATTTGGGGGTATAAGTAGGATAAAGAATTGAGGAAATAGTGTAGTTTTAAAACAGCTTTGCTTGGGTAATAAAAGAGAAGCAAATGAATTGCTGAGAACATTGAAGAACTATGTGAAGCTGGAAAGCATATCTTGACTTTGTCAAAGTCTCTTTATTTTTTTCTTTTTCTTTTTGGTGAGGAAGATTGGCCCTGAGCTATTACCTGTTGCCAATCCTCCTCTTTTTGCTTAAGGAATAGTGGCCCTGAGCTAATATCTGTGCCCATCTTTCTCTATTTTGTATGTGGGTTGCTGCCACAACATGGTTTGATGAGTGGTGTGGGTCCATGCCCAGGATCCAAACCCACAAACCTGGGCTGCCAAAGCAGAGAGTGCCAAACTTAACCACTGTGCCACTGGGCTGACCCCAAGGTCTCATCATTTTTTTCTTTTAACTTTTAAAATCAACTTTACTGAAGTATAAGTTACATATAAAAAGTGCTCCTATTTTACGTGTACTATTTGGTGAATACTGTACTTCTGTTTAACCCCATCAGTTAAGATATAGAACATTTGTGGGGCTGGCCTGGTGGCACAGCGGTTGTTTGCAGGTTCTGCTGCTTGGCGGCCCGGGGTTTGCCAGTTCCGATCTCGGGTGCAGACATGGCACTGCTTGACAAAAGCCATGCTGTGGTAGGCGTCCGACGTATAAAGTAGAGGAAGATGGGCATGGATGTTAGCTCAGGGCCAGTCTTCCTCGGCAAAAAGAGGAGGATTGGCAGCAGTTAGCTCAGGGCTAATCTTCCTCAAAAAAAAAAAAAGATACTGCGTTCCCCATAAATTTCCTCATGACCCTTTGACGTCAATCCTTCCTCTCTCAGCCTCCTCCCCCGCCCTGGGATTGGGCAACCATGGATCTGCTTTAGCATTCTGTAGATTAGTTTTTCCTTCTTCTAGAATTTCATATAAGTTGATTTATGTAATAAGATCTTTTTTGTGACCGGCTTCTTTGCCTCAACATAATGTTTTTGCAACCCATTCATGTTGTTGGATGTATCATTAGTTTCTTCCTTTTTATTGCTATATTCCAGTGTACAAATATACCACAATTTGCTTATCTGTTTATATGTTGAAAGTCATTTGGGTTGTTTTGAGTTTGGGGCTATTGTGAGTAAAGCTACTGTGAACATTGGTGTACATCTTTTTGTGGACGTGTTTTTTTTCTCTTGGAAATATGCCATTGTTTTCCAAAGTGATTGGACCATTTAACTCTCCTACCAGTAGGGTATGAGAGTTCTGATTATTGCACATCCTTGCTAGCACATGCTATTGTCAGTCTTTGTAATTTTTAGTCATGTTACTGTATGTGTATTACTATCTCATATGATAGTTCCCTGAAGACCAGTGATGTGAGTATCATTTCAAGTCTTTACTGGCCAGTCAGTGTTTTGTGAAGTCCAATTTATCAATTATTTTCTTTTTTCATTATTTTTTTCAGTTAATGCTTTTGCTATCCTAATCTTTTGCACATCTCAGGTTGTGAAGATTTTCTCCTATTTTTTTTTCTAGAAATTTTATAGATTTGGCTTTTTTGTTTATCACTGATCCATTTTCAGTTAATTGTTGTTTATGGTGTGTAGTGTCAAAGTTAATTTTTTTTCTGTATGGATTTCCGTTGTTTTCTGGCATCATTTGTTGAAAAGGCTGACCTTTCTCTGTAGAATTACCTACGTTCCTTTGTTGAAAATCAGTTGAGCATATATTTGTGAGTTAATTTCTAGACTCTGTGTTCTGTTCCATTGAGCTACAGGTCTTTCCTTGGCTAGTAAACACAGTCTTAATTACTGCAGCTTGAGGGTAAGTCTAGGAACCAGGTGGGGTAAGTTCTATGATTTTGTTCTTGTTTGAAAATTGTTTTGGTTAGTCTAAGTTCTTTGCATTTTTAAAATCAGCCTATGACTTTTAGCAAAAATGTCTGCTGATATTTTGATCGGAACGTTTTTGCAGCAATAGATCAATTTTGGGAGAATTAATATCTTAAAATAGCAAGTCTTCCAACCAGTCATTTACATGGTATGTCTCTCCATCTATTTAAGTTGTTAATTTCATTCACAGTGTTCTACAATTTCTGGTGTAGCGGTCTTACATAGTTTTGGTTATATTTTTTAAGATTTTCTGTTCTTGGGGTGCTATTGGAAATGGAGTCTTTTTTTTAAAAAATAAATTTCATATTTTTTGTGTTTGCAGCTAGTATATAAATTTACAACTGATTTTTGTATATTTACCTTATATTTTGTCACCTTGTTAAATTCACAAGTAGTGTTAGCTTTTTTTTGTTGATTTCTTAGTACATGATTATGTCACGTATGAATAAAGACATTTTTACTTTTTTTTTCTAGTCTATGACTTTTATTTCACTTGTTAATTTTTTGTTGTCTTATTTCACTAGCTAGGACTCCAATATAGTGTTTGAATAGAAGTGGTAAGAGTAAATATCCTTGCCTTGTTCCTTATCTTAGGTGGAAAGCATGTAGTCTCTCACCTTTAAGCATGATGTTGGCTGTGGTTTTTGATGTATGCCCTTTCAGACTGAGGAAATTCTGTTTTGCTTTTCTGAGAGTTGGTATCTTGAATGAACACTGCATTTTATCAGATTTTTCATCTGTTAATATGGTCATGTGATTTTTCTCATTCTGTTAATATGGATAATTACATTGGTTGATTTTCCAATGTTACACCAATGGGCATTCATAGGAGAAACCCCATTTGGTCAGTTGTTTATTATTTATGTATTTATGAAAAATTTTATTATATATACATTTTATAGTATATATATTTTTCTCGTTTTGATTTGTTCACAATTTGTTGAGATTTTTGCATCTGTGTTTGTTAGGTTTTGATATAAGGGTAATGCTGGCCTTATGTATGAATGTATGAATAAAATATTCCCTCTTCTGTATGCTGAAAGAGTTTGTGCAAGATTCTGAGATTTCTTTCTTAAATATTTGTTGAAATATACCAGTGAAACCATTTGGGCCCGGAGTTTTTTTTCTTGGGATGCTTTTTAAGCACAAATTTAATTCCTTTAATATCTACATCAAATATTTTCTATTTATTCCTGTTAGTTTTGTTAATTTAGATTTACAAGGAATTTATTTCATCTAAATTGTTGAATTTATTGTCATAAAGTTGTTCGTAATAGTCCCTTATTGTCCTTTTAATGTTTGTAGAATCTGTAGTTATGTCTTCTCTTTTATTCCTGATTTTGGCAATTTCTATTTTCTCTTTGTTTTCTTGGTCACTATAGTTTGAG